TCTCTACTAAAAAATACAAAAAACTGCCGGGCGAGTGGCGGCGCCTGTGGTCCCAGCTACTCGGTGAGGCTGAGCAGGAGAATGGCGTAACCCCGGGAGGCGGAGCTTGCAGTGATGCTGAGAATCCGGCCACTGCATCCAGCCTGGGAAAGAGACCAGACTCATCTCAAAAACAACAAAACAAAACCCAAAACAAACAAAAAAACAGGTGGCTGGCGCGGTGGGCTCCACGCACCGTGTAATCCCAGCCTTTGGGAGCTGAGCATGGGTAGATCCCAAATCAGGAGTTTAGATCAGCCTGGCCGCCAACATGGTGGAACCCTGTTTCTTACCTAAAACAAAAAAAGCCGGGGCATGTAGCAGGGCACCTACAACCCAGCTACTCAGGAGGCAAGGCAGGGAGAATTGCTTAAATCAGGAGGCAGAGGGTGCAGTGAGCCGAGATGTGCCACTGCATTCCAGTCTGGGTGGCAGAGTAAGACTCCAAAAAAAAAAAATCAGTGAAGGCGGGCCAGGCCCAGTGGCTCATGGCCTGTAATCCAGCACTTTGGAAGCCAAGATGGCAGGATCTCTTGAGCCCAGAGTTGAGACCCAGCCTGGGCAACATAGGGGACCCCATCTCTACAAAAAATAAAATGAAAAAAAATCACGAGGCAGTCCAGCTACTCAAGGAGGTGAGGTGGGCAGATTGCTGGAGCCGGGGAGGTCAAGGTTGCAGTGAGCCGTAATTGTGTCACTGCACTCCAGCCTGGGCAACAGAGTGAGATCCACACAAAACAAAAACAAAAAATAATAAAGGCCAAGTGCAGTGGCTCACACTTGTAATCTCAGCACTTGAGGCGGCTAGGTGGGAGACTGCTGAGGTCAGGAGTTTGAGACCAGCCTGGGAACACAGGGGAGACTCTGTCTCTCAAAATACAAAAATATGTGGTGGCATGCGCCTGTAGTACCAGCTACTCAGGAGGCTGAGACAGGAGGATCACCTGAGCCCAGGAGTTCGAGGCTGCAATGAGCCCCATTGTGCCACTGTACTCCAGCCTTGGTGACACAGAAGGACCCTGCCTTAAAAATAATAATAATAAATAAAAAGTCTGAGTAGGTACTGATAGAATGACTGGTAATAAATGTTAAATAAGGACTCCCTACCCCCATTGCATATCATATACAAAAACAAATTCCAGCTGGATTAAAAACTTAAATGTTAAGAATGGAAAATAAAATTTATAGGAGAGAATACCTGAGACTATACACATCACAGAGAACTGAAGAGATTTACTAAACCCAAATGAGAAGCCATGAAAGAGAGGAGGAACATATTTGATTACAAAAAAGTTCAAAATTTTAGAATGGTCTTAAACACTCAAAGTGCAGTGAGTTGAGGGAAATTTTGAATAGATAAAAACTCTAAAAATTGATAAGACAAATAATATAACAGCAATAGATTAATTTGTGGAGAATGTGAAGAGGCACTTCCAGGTGAGCAAATCCAGTCAATAAACCAATTAATAGACACTGCCCAGTAGAGAACTGCAAACTAAAAAATAATAAGGCCACTCCTCATCTATCAGATTAGCAAACATCAAAAACAGAATAACACCTGCTGCTGGAAGAGATGCAGGAAAACAAAACCCTTAAATACTATTGCTGGAAACTTGAATTCTCTTTGGGAAGCAATCTGACAATATCAAAATTAAAGGTTCCCTTTTCCTCATTCCCGGGAAACTCTGCCATAGAAATAAAAGCATCAGTGCAGGCCAGGCACGGTGGCTCACGCCTGTAATCCCAGTACTTTGGGAGGCCGAGGTGGGTGGATCACAAGGTCAGGGGATCGAGACCGTCCTGGCTAACACAGTGAAACCCCATCTCTACTAAAAATACAAAAAATTAGCCGGGCGTGGTGGCAGGCACCTGTAGTCCCAGCCACTCGGGAGGCTGAGGCAGGAGATGGCGTGAACCTGGGAAGTGGAGTTTGCAGTGAGCCAAGATCGCGCCACTGCACTCCAGTCTGGGCAACAGAGCAAAAAACTCCATCTCAGAAAAAAAAACAAAAAACAAAAAAAAACAAAAACAGCATCAGTGCATAGGGATAAGCATGGAAGCATTTTATTAACAGCTATGTGGCAGTGGCAAAATCCCAGAAACCAAGTGAGTGTCTATTCAAGAAGGGAGTGGAATATTATGCAGCCATGAAAAAGAATGAGTGAGACCCATCCCATCCAATTTAGAGGAATTTCTGTTATGTATTTACAGTTAAGGGAGAAAAGCAAGCAGCAGAGAAATGTATGGAATATGATTCAACTTTTAAAATATAACACCCTCAAAATTTAAATATAATGACTCCTTCCAAAAATTTAAAAAATAAACCTGTGTGTGTGTGAATTGTTAGGGAGAAATGTGGAAGGAAGGAAGTTGGGAAGAAACCAAGTGAGCCATGCCAGGCTGTTAACATAGAGGAGGAAGAGAGAGAAATACTTAAAAATAAGTTTCTGTATTTAAAAACCATGTGTGTGATGTGACCCCATCCATGCAAAATTATGTACACATAAAGAAATAGGTGAAAGCGCCAGGCGCGGTGGCTTACGCCTGTAATCCCAGTACTTTGGGAGGCCACGGCGGGTGGGTCACGAGGTCAGGAGTTTGAGACCAGCCTGGCCAATGTGGTGAAATACATCTTTACTAAAAACACAAAAATTAGCCGGGTGTCATGGCACGTGCCTGTAATCCCAGCTACTCTGGAGGCTGAGGCAGGAGAATCGCTTGAACCTGAGAGACAGAGGTTGCAGTAAGCTGAGATTGTGCCACTGCACTCCATCCTGGGCGACAGAGGGAGACTCCATCTCAAAAATAAAAAATAAATAAAAAAACCCAAAACAAAACAAAAAGAGAAATGGGGGAAAGGATAGCCACCAAAATATTAATGATGATTATCTTAAGGGGTGGGACTGTAGGTGACTTTTACTTTTTTTCTTTTTTGTTTTTGTTTTTTTTTTGAGACGGAGTCTTGCTCTGTCGCCCAGGCTGGAGGGCAGTGGCCGGATCTCGGCTCACTGCAAGCTCCGCCTCCCGGGTTTACGCCATTCTCCTGCCTCAGCCTCCTGAGTAGCTGGGATTACAGGCACCCGCCACCTCGCCCGGCTAGTTTTTTGTATTTTTTAGTAGAGATGGGGTTTCACCGTGTTAGCCAGGATGGTCTCGATCTCCTGACCTCGTGATCCACCCGTCTCGGCCTCCCAAAGTGCTGGGATTACAGGCTTGAGCCACCGCGCCCGGCCACTTTTTTTCTTATTTGTTTAGTGTTTACATGTTATATAATGGGTATTTGTTACTTATATAATCAGTGAAAAATAAAGCTATTTTCATTGTTGTGGGGGGAATTATTGGCAGGTAGAAGTCCCTAGAGGATCTGATTTAATGAGCACACAAGATCAATATTTAATTAACATATCAATTGCTGGCACGTCAACTGATGTTTTCCAAAATCTTTGAAGTGCAGGCTCTCTTAAGTAGCCAAACTGTCGTTGGAAACATTGTTTACAATTCTCCCATTTAACAAACGCGGAGGAACAGAATGATTACAAATGCTAAAGCACATAAGACGATTAAAGGAGGTTTATTTATGTACCATCAAATGCTTGTGTATCCTGTACACATCAGTTTAGAATTCTCTCATCAACCCAACCTTCTGGCAACTTCCAAACCCCTCCATCATTGCCTTCTAACTTTTCAAACTTTTTTTTTCTTTTTTGTAAGCCACTTCTCTTTCCAGACCTCTCTGTAGTGGTTCCTAAAGTCTTCCCTTTAAACCTTCTAACTTGTGTTTGCTATTTTTATGACTTCCTCCTTCCAGTGCCTGGCTTCCCCAGCTGGGGATTCACCTTGCTTTGGTGGTCACTCTTTTGCTCTTCTCGCCTTCCCTCTCTCCGTGGGCCTGCCAGGCTCAGGGGAGGCCACAGGTGCTTAGACTTTGTCCAAAGTGGTGCTCATTGAACACGCTGGGTTCTCAAACAAATGTTAGGGCCAGCTGGTTAGACGGGAAGCTGGGCCTCGCCTGCTTGCTCTCTGCAACATTTCTTGAGCATTGCTGGGTGTCCAAAGCAGGGTGAGATCCCAGAGCAGTCACAACAGGATGTGTCATTGGTGCTCACTGCACAGTGCTGGGGACGCACAGGGAGGATGCCACTGATGGCGTAGGGGGTGGCGGTGGGGGTGGGGGGAAAGTTGCTAAGACTTGGCAGAGGGAGCAGCACGTGTCCAGGTCTACTGGTTCTCCAAGTTTGGTCCTAGAGCAAAGGCATCAGCATCACCTGGGAACTTGCTGAAAATTCTACTGTTTAGGCCCCACTACTGACCTACCAAAGCAGACACTCTGCGGGAGGGAGGAGGGACACCAAAAATCTGTTTTATCAAGACCTCCAAGAGACTCCGAGTAGTTTGAGAACCACGGCTCTGGGAGCGGCCTGAGGATGCTTAGGATGAGCGCAGAACAGAAAGGAGGATTCGTGAAGGCTCTCTGATGCCCGTCAAAGGGTTAGACTTTGACCCGCAGGTGCCGCCTCCAGGTTTTTAAGCAGAAGCCTGTGGCTCTCACACGCCCTCTTCCAAGGCGGGGTTTCTGGGAGCCCTGGCTTTCCCAGGGCCCCCGGGACAGAGAGCTTACCGGCGTGGGACTGAACTCGCCCACGACCCCCGATACCAGGCAAGAGAGGTTGTGCCGCAGACCCTCCACTCCCCAGCACCAGGCGCTCGCCGTCCAGGTGGAGGGGAGCACACGTGGGAGCCAGGGGCACCAGCGGAGACAAGAGCGCAGAAGGCAGGCGCTCAGGCCCACGCCCGCGGCTGCCGGGGAGGTAGGCGCTGCGAGCCCTGGCTCCACCCCTAGCCTGAGGGGCGCGGTGCTTTGGCCCCGCAGGCCCCGCCCCGGCGCGCGCCCGGCCCGCCTCCCCGGGCGTGCGGGCGGGGGGGAGACTCAGCCCCGCGCCCGTGCGCGCGCCCGCGGCCGGGTTGCAGGGCTGGGCGCGCGCCCCGCGTCCCGGGCAGGAAGATGGTGGCGAGCGCGCGAGTGCAGAAGCTGGTGCGGCGCTACAAGCTGGCGATTGCCACGGCGCTGGCCATCCTGCTGCTGCAGGGCCTGGTGGTGTGGAGCTTCAGCGGCCTGGAGGAGGACGAGGCGGGCGAGGTGCTCCGACAACCAGGCGGGCGGGCAGGCCGGGCGCGGGGGCGCGCGGGGTCCTGGCGGGGCTGCGGGCGGCCCCAGCCGGGGAAGTGGGGCACGGGCCGCGTGCGTGCGTGCAGGGCGCCGGCGGTCGCCTGGAGCGGAGCATCGGGCCCCCGGCACTCCCTTACCCCGCAGGCCTAGGGAGCTGCGCTCGGGGACAGTGCGTGACCTGGAGACCCGGGCCCTGGTGCATTGGGGGCCGGGGCGGGAGGAGCAGGTCATGCTGGGGTGGTCTCCGGCCAAGGGAGCGATGAAGGTCAGGCGCGGCGAGCGGGGCTGGGAGGCGGGGCTGGGCCCGAACCTGCTCGGAGGTGGGGAGCCCCAGGCCAAACTTTCTGAAGTTGGGAGGGGGCGGGGATGTGCGCGCCGTGGGCGGAGGAGTGGGGCCAAGGGACCCAGAGCGTCCTTCCCCAGCTGAGCCCGAGGGGGCAGCGGCCGGTGAGCAAGTGGAGCTCGGGGGTGGAATTCGGGCCTGGGACAAAGTGTGTACCTGGGAACTGAAGGAACAAGGAGTGACCCCGAGGGAGAGAACTGGAGTCTTCCCGAGGTGTGGCTTCCTCAGCCAGAGGTTTGAAGAACCTGGATGGGTCTCCGGAGGGCAGGGGGAGGAGGAACTGAGCTGGTGAGTTGGCCTCAGGACCTTAGGGAATTAGGGAGGGGCCCTCTGGCTCTAAGAGAATGGGGACTGTAACAGTCCCAGCCGTAGAGCAGGGGCAACCAACAGCCGTCTCAGCCCCCAGGTCCCTGCCTCGAGGGTCTTTCTCCCTCTTCCCTGATGTGGTTTCAGCTGGAGGCTCAGACACCTCAGCGGTGTGGTGAGGAAGGGTCCATTGGGTCTGGGTTCATGCTGCGGAGATGGAGAGGACAGGCCACACCACAGTCCTAAGCTGTGGCCCAGAGGTCAGGGCCTCCCTGTCCCCAGCGCCCCTGTTCTGCTGCCTCCAGGGCTCCGGGTCAGAGACTCTGTCTGCTGCTGTCCTCGGGCAAGCCCCGATACCCACAACCCCTTACGGCATCTCACCAGCCTGGAAGGCCTGGTGTGGAGACAGAAGAGCTGCCCTTGCCTTTTTTTGGAGAACCCAGAGGGTGGGATGGTGGTGGGGGCTGGCACAGAGTCACATGAGACCATAACTCCAAAAGGAGGTGGGGGCAGGGGCGGCTGGCTCCGTGACATCCGTGGGGATGTGGACCTACAAGTAGGACGAGCAAGTAGGAGAGTGTTTCGGGCCCAGTGTAAGAAGACTCTTTGGGCAGATGGGACATTCCAAGATGGAATGGGCTGCCAAGGCAGTTAGGGAGCCCTCTGACACTGGAATATGAGACCACTCTGGGCTACCGCCCCCATCCCCCACCACCTCCTCCTCCAGCTTACTGGCTGAATGAATAGGGGAATCCTGGATTGGAATGTTTGAAAAAGCTTGTGCGGTCCAGGCACCCATTGCTGCTTGGACCCCCTCAGCTGCTCCCTCACCTGACTCTGGGGTTGCCAGGCAGCATAACGGGGTGCATGGGAAGGTGAATGCTGAAGCTGGACCGCCCACTTCACCACTCTCTTCCAGCTCTGACCCTGAGGAGACCACCAGCAAATCACTTTGCCTCCTCCCTTATCCTCATCAGTATCCCTCCTCAAGATGGGGATAATATTGGCACCTCCTGTGTTGGGCGATTATAAAGATTAAGTGAAAATGATGCCTGTGAAGCACTTGCAGGAGTTCCTGGCACACGCTCAGCTGTCAGTAAATAAATAACTCTTATTATCCCAGCACTGTGCATTGGGAATACGATTCATTCATTCATTCATTCATTCATTCCATAAATAGGTATGAAGTCCTACTTTGTACCTGACACTGTGCTAACACTGGGGATACAAAAATAAAATAGATGAGGTCTCTGCCCTCATGGACAGGTAATCTACAGGAAGAAACAGACAGTGAAAAGGAACTCAATAGAATTACAAAGGGGTTGGGTTAGATCAGGGGGTCAGGAAAGGCTTCTCAGAGGAAGAGATGGGCAGGAGAGTTCAGGCAGAAGGCCTGAGGAGAATGGGCTTAGCTGGGCACCCTTGAGGAATGGACAGGAGGGTGTGGTGCTTTCCCTGGAAGAAGGTTCCATCCTGTGCGGCTGAAAGGACCACAGCAAGGGGCAAGGGTTTTATTCTGAGTGCAGCGGGAGAGCACCGAAGGGGTTTAAGCAGCACAGGATTCAGTGTGCATTTAAGACGTGCGCTCTGCCCATCTACGGAGAGGCTGTGAATCCCAGGGATGGTCACTAACCTCCAGAGAGCCGCTCGATAGTTTCCAAAGCTTTCACAAACACCATCTCACCACTTGTTTTAAATGCAGCCTGAGAAGTCAAAGGAGGTGGGGATGGGGGGAGCATTTCTGTGTTCACCCTCTCTGTGACTCAGAGAAAGATTCTAAGGTGGGGCTGCAGAGCCAGGAAGTGGCAGAGGATTTTAATTGCCTCCTTGGAGGAGAGGAAGGAGCCTCTGAGGCCAGAATGCATCCAGGCCAGAGGTCAGAGGACCATTCCCCACCCTGTCATCAGAAGGGCTCCCGGCCTCAGGGCTGCTGGGGGCAGCCTGTGAGGGGCACAAGGCTGGGGCTGTGATGATGCTATTTGGACATGCCTGGAAGGGACGGAGGTGGGGGCTAACTGCCCACCAGGGCCTCTCTGATCCCTCACTGCTGCCTCCTCGTCCCCCAGCCTTCTCTGGGATTGTCCTTCTCAGGGTCAGCCAGCTCCCACTGCAGTGCAGGGACCAACATGCCCATCTCCTCCCACATCCTGGCCCCCACCACAGCCAACCTGGCCCCGTGCCTCATGCCCTACCCTCCTGACCAGCTTCCTGACTCACTGATACTGGCTTCCACTCGGAGAGCCTACAGCTGTCTGCCATCTCTATCCACCTAAGCTTGGGAATGTCTTTCTCTGCTTGCTGTGTGGCCAGATCACATGTCACCAGGCTGATACACACTCAGCCCGGTGGGGCTGCATTTACCTTTCCTAGGGATTCCCCAGCCTGTGGCGCCCTCCCCAGTATGGGTACAGAATAGGGTCTGCTGCCTCTTCTTGCAGGTATCTCTTCTCGGATGGGAATGGCTGCCCCCAGCTCCCACTGGCCATCTTTAAGAGATCAGAGGGCAACCAAGCACTGTGGCTCATGCCTGTGATCCCAGCACTTTAGGAGGCCAAGGTGGGAGAAGCGCTTGAGCCCAGGAGTTCGAGACCAGCTTGGATAACGAGACTGCATCTCTATTAAAATAAATAAAATCAAAAGATCAGAAGGCTGCTGGGTGCTAGGCACAGAGGGCATGGGTGTAGGGATGGGGCTCTGGCCTGAAGGTGGCTGTCATCCTGACAGCGTGAGGTTCCTGATGTGCTCAGAAGGCCTGAGGAGAATGGTAGTGGGTACGGTGTGCAGGGGTTGGGGGAAGCCCTTGGGGAGGTGAGGAGCACAGAGAACCCAACCCAGCTGAGTCCAAGATGTTGAGGATCTTGGGCCTCTCTTGACTTCACGTTTGACTATTTCCTTCTCCCATCTGAGTAATCATAATGATAAAGATGGCAGCATTGGGCTGGGTATGGTGGCTCATGCCTGTAATCCCAGTACTTTGGGAGGCTGAGGCGAGCAGATCACTTGAGGTCACGAGTTCGAGACTAGCCTGGCCAATATGGTGAAGCCCAGTATTAACTAAAAACACAAAAAGTTGCCGGGCATGGTGGCACACACCTGTAATCCCAGCTACCTGGGAGGCTGAGGCACGAAAATTGCTTGAACCCAGGAGGTGAAGGTTGCAGTGAGCTGAGATCATGCCACTGCATTCCGGACAGAGCGAGACTCTGTCTCAAAAAAAAAAAAAAAAAAAAGTAGCAGTACTTACTGAATGCTGTGCCTATGCCAAAAGTTTTGCATTCATTCATTCATTCATTCAACAAATACTAAGGCCAGGCACAGTGGCTCAGGCCTGTAATCCCAGCACTTTGGGAGGCCGAGGTTGGTGGATCACTTGAGATCAGGAGTTCAAGACCAGCCTAGCCAACATGGCGAAACCCTGGCTCTACTAAAAATACAAAACATTAGCTGGGCATGGTGGTGCGCACCTGTAATCCCAGCTACATGGGAGGCTGAGGCAGGAGAATCACTTGAACCCAGGAGGCGGAGGTTGGAGTGAGCTGAGATTGCACCACTGCACTCCAGCCTGGGCAATGAGAGCAAGACTCTCAAAAAATCAAACACTTACTGAGTATGTACTACAGCCAGACACTCTCCTAGGCGCTAGGACTATGTCAGTACATACAGCAAAAAGCCCTGCCCTTGGGGAACTTACAATCTCCTGAGGAGAAAGACAAATTAAAAAAAAAAATCAAAACAGTATAAATAAATAGTAGGGTGAGAGGAAATATTGTGCTATGGGAAAAAGAGGAGGAGGGAGGGCTGGCACTGTAAATTCAGTGGTCAGGATGGCCCTACTGAGAAGATGGCATCTGAACAAAGAATTGAAGGAGGCAAGGAGTGAGCAGTGGGGCTATCTGGGTGAGGGTGTGCCAGGCACAGGGGATAGTGGGTGCAAGGGCTGGAGCCAGGAGTGCCAGGGGGGATGAGGGGATGCAGAGAAAGCCACTGTGGCTGCAGGAGAGTGAGCATGACAAATTCCCAGATGAGGTCAGAGAGGCCTGGGTGGAGAAGGGGGCATCCAGAGAGCTCACGGAGCCTCTGTAGGCTCCTGTAAGGGCCTTGGTTTTTATCCTAAGAGGGGCCACTGGAGGTTTGGAGCAGGGGAGTGGTGAAATGGGATTTTAAGAGTTGTAACAGAAACACCGGCTGCTATGATGAGAATGGAATTTAGGGGAACAAGAGTAGGAGCTGGAAGACTAGGGAATCCAGGCAGGGATAGTGAGGGAGGTGTTGAGAAGGGATCGGATTCCAGATATATTCTGAAGGGATTTACTGATGGAGTGGATGTGGGGTGTAAGGGAAAGAGAGTCAAAGATGACTCCTGACCAGACGCGGTGGCTCACATCTGTAATCCTAGCACTTTGGGAGGCCAAGGCAGGTGGATCTGAGGTCAGGAGTTCGAGACCAGCCTGGCCAACTTGGCGAAACCCCGTCTCTATTAAAAATACAAAAATTAGCCAGGCGTGGTGGCATGTGCCTGTAGTCCCAGATACTCAGGAGGCTGAGGCAGGAGAATCGCTTGAACCCAGGAGGCAGAGGTTGCAGTGAGCCAAGATTGTACCACTGCACTGCAGCCTGGGCAACAGAGTAAGACTCTGTTTCAAAACAAAAAATTGATTCCCAAAAGTTTTTGGCCTGAGCATCTTGAAGGATGGAGATGTCATTAACTGAGATGGGGAAGATGAAGTAGGAGCAGGTTGGGGATGAAGAGCGGGAGGTACTTTTGGGCTTGTGGCCTTGAGAGGTCTATCAAGCTCCCAGGTGAGATGTCAAGGAAGCTGGTAGTTAAATGCCTGAAGGTTCAAGGGAGCTATCCAGGCCAGAGAGATCAATCTGGGGGTGGGGATGGAGTTTAGAAACCCAGAGAATGAAGATCACTTAGGAAGTGAAGGTGCTAGGACAGGAAGGGCCCCCAGATGTGCCCTGGGAGACAAGGAAGCACCAAGAAGACCATAAGGAGTGGCAGTGGAAAGAGGAGAAAAGCCAGGTGGGTATCCTGGAAAGCAAATGCGGAGGGCGCTTCAAGCAAGACAGAGTGGTCCATTAAGTTCTTGGCTGCTGAAAGGCCAAGAAAGAAGAGGACTTAGTCTTGGAGAGCTTGTGAGCATGGAGGGGAAGGCCGGTGGGAGAGGGTTTATGAGGCTGGAGACGGCTCTCCCTAGCTGCAGTGTCTCATGCTCATTTGTTATTCCTCTTTACAGCTAAGGGAGCATGCTCAGAGAAGTTAGGGAACTGCTGGTGAGTTGGCAGAGCTAGGCCCAGAGCCCTGGAGACTCTAGAGTGTTCACCCGGTGGCCCCTGTTCCTCCGTCCATTCTGCATCTCATCCACCAGACACCAGCTAGGTGTCTGTGTGTGCCAGCTGCTCTGCTGGGCCCTGGGGAGATGGAGCTGACATGTCTCTTGTCAAGGAGTTCACTACTAGAGGAACATCCAGGGCCTTGGAGCTCAGCCCATTCCACTGCAGGGCAAATGGAATGGCTGCATGCCAGGGGCCTTGGAGCTGGATCTGAAAGGATGGATGGGATTTGATCAGGCAGGGCAGGTAGGATGGGGGAACGGAGGAGGAGGTGGCTGGACATGCTGTTCAGCCAGCACCAGGCCATCTAGGGAAGTGCCTGGATTTGAGGAGAGGCAGCAGGTACCAGAGCACTTAGAGCCAGGAAGCAGGGGCGCGGCAGCAGTAGCGGTGCCCTGCTGCACGTGCAGCGAGGTGACAGCCTCCAGCTGCGGGCACCTTCAGGCCCTGCCTCAGCTTTCCAGCCACAGACTGAGTGTGGAGGTGTCAGGGCTCACCAGCTCCAGGCAGTACATGTGCTGGAGTTTTCCCGGGAGCCAGCCAGGACTTCCTCGAGGCTGTGCTGGAGAGAGAAGCTCTTCTTGCCCCTCTCCTTGCATGGTCATCTCCTTTGTGGTCCAAAGCCTTTCCCTGCCAGCCCCTGCCCCATCGCTCACGGGGGTACCCGCAGTGAATCTCACGCACTCTGACTCTCTCTTGATCTGCTTCCTAAAGGACCAAGCAGGATTGGGGTCTCAGACTTCACCTCCGTCATCCCCCATGGGCACTCCTCCTTCACTGTGAAATGGCCTCAGTCTTCCCACATGGAAATGCTTTGGATTCATCTGGAAGTTAGAGTCTTCTGAAGACCACTGTCTCCTCCCAGCCCTCGGTGGGAGTGCTGGGTCTTAGGTGGACATTTGTACCCTCGGTGGGGTCTTTGCACCCTTCCCTTGGGACACGTGGATATTTATTTTAACATCTGCTGAAAAGGAAAGTGGTATCTGAGTCCAGAACAGAAAACCAAGCACAGTGCCATGAAATCTGAGAGCCAGTGGGGGACAGGGGTGTTGGTATGATGGAGGGAGGACCAGTGCTCCCTCGGTGGCTGGCTAGGGAGGCGCTCCCGCGGTGGTGCTGATTGTGTGGAGTCCTTAGGTGAAAAGCACTTCTCTGGGTAAAAAGTGAGCAGAAATGTCTAGGTCTGAGGGTGCCCCCAACCAAGATGGAACTCAAGGAGCAGGAGGAGGTGAGGGGCTGCCCCAGTGATGTGTCTGCATATCTTTTACAGAAAGGAAGACAGAGGAAGCCACGGCCACTGGACCCTGGCGAGGGTTCCAAGGACACAGACAGTTCAGCAGGACGACGGGGCAGCGCAGGCAGAAGGCATGGGCGCTGGCGGGGCCGTGCTGAGAGCCCAGGAATGCCCGTGGCCAAGGTGGTACGGGCAGTAACCAGCCGGCAGAGGGCCAGCCGGCGGGTCCCACCTGCCCCACCCCCAGAGGCCCCAGGCCGCCAGAACCTGAGTGGGGCAGCAGCTGGGGAGGCGCTGGTAGGGGCAGCCGGCTTCCCACCACACGGAGATACAGGGAGCGTGGAGGGCGCCCCCCAGCCTACGGACAACGGCTTCACCCCCAAGTGCGAGATCGTGGGCAAGGACGCGCTGTCTGCACTGGCCCGGGCCAGCACCAAGCAGTGCCAGCAGGAGATCGCCAATGTGGTGTGCCTGCACCAGGCTGGGAGCCTCATGCCCAAGGCTGTGCCCCGGCACTGTCAGCTGACTGGTGAGGGACAGGGGTGCTCCAGCCCTTCCCAGGCTGGGGCAGGGAGGTGGCATGGCCCGGATCCACACTCCCATCTCTCTCAGGAAGAAAGAGCCAAGGGGGGCCTACCTCCCTGCCTAAGTCTTCATCCAGTTACTTACTAAGTGGCAGGGACAGAGTGAGGACCCAGGAGCATGGGGCTCCAAGTCTAGGCTTCTTTGGAAGGCAGGCAGCTCCCTCTTCCCATCTCACCCTGACCCTGTGACCCTGGGGGGCCTCGCCAACGCCTGTCCTCTGCTCTCAGGGAAGATGAGCCCCGGCATCCAGTGGGATGAGAGCCGAGCCCAGCAGCCTGTGGATGGCCCCCCGGTGCGAATTGCCTATATGCTGGTGGTTCACGGCCGCGCCATCCGCCAGCTGAAGCGTCTCCTCAAGGCCGTCTATCACGAGCAGCACTTCTTTTACATCCATGTGGACAAGGTATTGTGGTGGGGAGAGGCCAAGGGGTCTGGGGTGAGCAGAGCAGAAACAGAAGGTTGCCGACAGACAGGGTCTCTGACCTGGCCCAGGTAGCCTAGAGAGAGAAACTGAGGCCCTGAACAGGGGGGTGGCAGCACGAGCCAGCTCAGCTGCTTAGGGGCTGGAGCCCTGCCCTGTGCTTTCCCTGTCTTGTGTCCCTTCACTCTGTCCTGGGGTGGGAGTGGGGATGGCGATAACACTGGGGGCTAGCTGAGTGTCTCCTCCCTACCAGCGTTCCGACTACCTGCACCGGGAGGTGGTGGAGCTGGCCCAGCGCTATGATAATGTGCGGGTGACGCCCTGGCGCATGGTCACCATCTGGGGCGGGGCCAGCCTCCTAAGGATGTACCTGCGGAGCATGCGGGACCTGCTAGAGGTGCCTGGCTGGGCCTGGGACTTCTTCATCAACCTCAGTGCCACTGACTACCCAACCAGGTGTGGGGATGGGGCTCTGAGTCCTCCGGATGGGAGGGGACGCCTGTCTGGGCACCTGGGGTTGCAGGGCCTTGGTGGACCTTCTCTGCCCCATAAGCCTAACTCTGGGATCCGCCCTGCTCAGACATGGGCCCCTGGGCCCCAGCCATGTTTTAGGGGAGGGGTTGGTGTAAGATGAACTGAGAGTTGAGCATGATAGGAGATGGGGAGGAGGAGGAGGAGCCAGAGGTCTGTACCTGGTGTGCTGGATCAGACAGCAAGGGGCAGAGGAAGGATGGGGTGGTCTTCCTCAGGGGCCTCTGGTGCTCACCACCCCAGACATCAGCCAGGGGTAGGGCACATGGCCAGACAGCAGTCAGGGAGAGAGAAAAGCCAGAAGGTCTGCTCTATGCCAGTGACTGCACAACTATCTCACTTGGCTGCCTGTCACCCCATTCCTTCACCAGGACCAATGAGGAACTGGTGGCATTCCTATCCAAGAACCGGGACAAGAATTTCCTCAAGTCACATGGCCGGGACAACTCCAGGTGAGGGGGTGGGAAAGGAGGCCCTGGCCTCAGAGTCTTGTCCCAACACCCCCAACACAGTTGGGCTCAGTGGCTCCAGTCCTGGGTTTCAAAGTCTCCACACCAGTCACAGGTTGAGGAGTGTTGGTTGCCAGGCAGATGAAAGAGCTTAGACCCCACCCTGCAGGATCCCCAGCCATGGCCTCTCTGCCGCCGGCAGGTTCATCAAGAAACAGGGCCTGGACCGGCTCTTCCATGAGTGTGACTCGCACATGTGGCGCCTGGGTGAGCGGCAGATCCCGGCAGGCATCGTGGTGGATGGCGGTTCTGACTGGTTTGTGCTGACACGCAGCTTTGTGGAGTATGTGGTGTACACAGATGACCTGCTTGTGGCCCAGCTACGCCAGTTCTACACATACACACTGCTGCCAGCAGAGGTGGGTGACCCAGCAGGCATGAAGGCCGGGGAGGGCATGGGTTGGGCTGCCTACAGCTCACCTTCCACCCTCCCTTGCTGCTTGAAGTCCTTCTTCCACACGGTGCTGGAGAACAGCCTGGCCTGTGAGACCCTCGTGGACAACAATCTGCGGGTCACCAACTGGAACCGCAAGCTGGGCTGCAAGTGCCAGTACAAGCACATCGTGGACTGGTGCGGCTGCTCCCCCAACGACTTCAAGCCACAGGACTTCCTCCGGCTGCAGGTGCTTGCCCGAGGCCCCAAGGCTGCCCCTGGCTAGGTCTTCTCCCCTGGCTTTTCACCAGGAGAACAGCAGGGTGGGCCAGTCAGAAAATCTGGGGGGCCTCGGCCTGGAGCAGCCCTCAGGGGTCTGGGACTACAACAGCAGCAGGAAAAGCCGCAGGAGGCTGAGCTCTAGGCAGTGCTGAGGGGCCGGCCCTGCCATGCCCTCTGGGGCTTCCAGAGCCCTTCACCCTCCTTGCCTCTCCTGCTCTAGCAAGTCTCCAGACCCACCTTCTTCGCCCGGAAGTTCGAGTCGACTGTGAACCAGGAGGTGCTGGAAATCCTGGACTTCCACCTGTACGGCAGCTATCCCCCCGGCACGCCAGCCCTCAAGGCCTACTGGGAGAGCACCTACGACATGGCGGATGGCCCCAGTGGGCTCAGTGATGTCATGCTCACCGCTTACACGGCCTTCGCCCGCCTCAGCCTGCACCATACCGCCACTGCTGCACCCCCACTGGGCACCCCACTCTGCAGGTGAGACCCCCTTCTGACATACAGCAGGCACTTGGGGTGTGGTGCCCTAGGGGGAGGCCAACCAGAGAGTGACGTCCCCTGCCCACAACAAGGCCCCAGTCTGAGGCAGGGAAAAATGCAAATACCGAAAACAAGGCTAGAGCCAGGCATGCAGGTGCTGTGGGTGTGAGATCTGGGGGAAGGAAGTGCCTGGGGAGGGGACTCCAGGCCAAGTCAGGTGTGCTGATGGCATCTCCCTTTCTCCCTGCTGGCACCTTAGGTTTGAGCCCAGGGGCTTGCCGTCCAGCGTGCACCTGTATTTCTATGACGACCATTTCCAGGGCTACCTGGTGACGCAGGCGGTGCAGCCCTCAGCCCAGGGGCCGGCAGAGACGCTTGAGATGTGGCTGATGCCCCAGGGGTCGCTGAAGCTGTTGGGGCGCAGTGACCAGGCCAGCCGGCTCCAGAGTCTGGAGGTGGGACAGGTCTCCCCACCCCCTTGCTTTCTCCCAACCCCTAGCCAGACTTGGGGTAGTGGGAAGAGACCAAGGGAGACAGACACCAAGGGAGGGGTAAAGTTCTTTTTCCCAGTCATGGCAGGCATGGTGATGCCCCTATGCAGACATCCTGTGTCAGCCCCCAGCCTGTGCACACTGAGGAGCACTTCCTGGTTGGGTATGCAGAGGACATTCAGGGAGCAGGGAGGGAATTATCATTTCCACTACAACACAAGCCCAATCTTCCAGACTACAGCGATTTCTCCTAGAGAGGCAGGGACATTCGAATTGGGCCATGAAAGTACGCTTCTAAGTGGCTCCTCATCGCCTTTTTTTTTGTTTTGTTTTTTTGAGACAGTCTCGCTCTGTCACAGTGGTGCGATCTTGGCTCACTGCACCTCTACCTCCCAGGTTCAAGCGATTCTCCTACCTCAGCCTCCCGAGTAGCTGGGACTATAGACGCGCGCCATCACGCCCAGCTATTTTTTTTTTTGTATTTTTAGTAGAGACAGGGTTTCACCTGACCTCGTTATCCACCTGCCTCGACCTCCCAAAATGCTGAGATTACAGGCGTGAGCCACCACGCCCGGCCCCTCCTCATTGTCTCTTTCTTAGAGACTGCCTTCATGTGGGAATGGTCTCTGGGTGGGACTTGGAACCTCATCCCTGCCGTATGGTCCCCAATAACGGCGACTGACCTCCACTGCCTAGCAGTCAGAATGGAAGCCTAGAACGAATCTCAGAGCTAGGAGAGATATTAAAGATCTCCTAGTCTGACCCCTTCATTTTGCAGATGGGGAAACTGAGGCCCAGAAAGAGACAGTGACTGGCCTGAGATTACACAGTGAGAGGCAGCCTCAGAGGAGGGAGAAGGACCTTTCCCCCACACTCCTGCCCAGCTGCCTCTCTCTTTACAGGTTGGCACTGACTGGGACCCCAAAGAGCGTCTTTTCCGGAACTTTGGGGGGTTATTGGGGCCGCTGGACGAGCCTGTGGCCGTGCAGCGCTGGGTCCGGGGCCCCAACCTCACAGCCACGGTGGTCTGGATCGACCCAACCTATGTGGTGGCCACATCTTATGACATCACAGTAGATACGGAGACCGAGGTCACGCAATACAAGCCCCCACTGAGCCGGCCCCTGCGGCCAGGGTCCTGGACTGTTCGACTCCTTCAGTTCTGGGAACCGCTGGGTGAGACCCGCTTCCTTGTGCTGCCCTTGACCTTCAACCGCAAACTACCTCTCAGGAAAGGTAAGACTGCAGTTCTCAAATGAGGCCCAGAAGCCAGACAGAATAGGACTCGCCAGAGAGGTGACCCCAAGAAGCCAACCATCAGAGCTGATTCCCATCCCTAGAGTAAGGGAAGCATGGAAAGGCTGAGGCCTTGATCTTCTTTCCTGTAGTGTGCAGGGTCCTGCACTGCAGTGTGGTGGAAAGGGGAGCTTTACAGTCATGCACACTTGGTTTGGAACATAACTCTGACGGGTTCATTGGCCTTTTGTCCTTGGAAGTTACTTGGCCTTCCTGGGCCTCAGTCTTAGCACGTGAAGCAGGAATAGTACACCTATCAGGGACCTTGTGGTACATGCGACACAAATCCACTCAACCGAGCTTGAGTTAAAAAGGGGAGAAGACTGGAAGAATGCAGAGGTCTCCTTCACAAAGCTAGGAAATGTCTCAGGCCTTACTGTGAACCAGAGGTGCTTTCTCCATCTCTCTGGGGCCATCTTGCTCCTCATCCTGTCGTGTCTCTATGCATCGACCTCAGACTCTGGCTCCCCATCCATGGCATCTCAGTGCAACAGACACTGACCAGGGACTTTTAGTTCCCAGGTTCCACATTCTTGGGACAGAAAATCTGACTGGCTGTCCCAGTCCACTCTCTGGCCAGGTGGGCAGGGTCATGTGGCTCTCTGCCCACTTGGCTGAGGCTAAAGGAGTAGGCTCTGAACAGAGACAAAGGCTGGGCAAATTTCCTGCAAGGAAGGGCCTAGTACAAGTAACTCCCCTGGAAGATATGAGGGATGAGCCTCTGGAGGGAAAGTGGCCAGTATGCAGGAGGTGATAATTGTAGGTGTTTCTTTCCCCCACCCCGTCCTATCACAAGAAGGTGGGTAAGAGGTGGGGTACCCTAGAGGAGGAGGGGGTGCTGGTGGGGCTGCAGCAGATCCAGGATCCAGGGCAGGCAAGCTGTGTCCCCCACACACCTGGACCTCCCAGTCAAGGGAAGAATGGCAGCAATGCACAGCAGGTAGGGACAGGGGCTGCGCCTCAAGGACAAAGTCAGAGAAGGTGCTCTAAGCTGAGGGGACAGAGCTGGCCAGTGTCTGTGCATGAAGGGCTGAAGTGCCCGAATACAGGCTTCTGAGGGCTCCGGGAGCCCCCGATGATGGTCAGGAAAGGGTGTGGGACACAAACCAGACTGTTCCCTTCTTTCCTAAAGTGCCTTGAACCTACTGCTTTATTGCATCCTAAAGTTGGGAGTCTAGAGCTTACTGCCTTGATTTGATAAAACTCAGTTTTATAGGCACAGAAAGTCCCTTGGATTAGCCCAAGGTCACTCAGCAAGCTGTGACTCAGAAGTAGGGCTGTGACAGGAACTGAGGTACCCAACTCCTGGGTCTGGCCTCCACAGAGTCTGTGTGTGGTGGGGGGTGCTTACTGCCTGCTCTGCACCCACAGATGATGCCAGCTGGCTGCATGCGGGACCCCCCCACAATGAGTACATGGAGCAGAGTTTCCAGGGCCTGAGTAGCATCCTGAACCTGCCTCAGCCGGAGCTCGCAGAGGAGGCTGCCCAGCGGCACACACAGCTCACAGGCCCTGCACTCGAGGCCTGGACAGACAGGGAACTGAGCAGCTTCTGGTCTGTGGCCGGACTGTGTGCCATAGGCCCCTCTGCTTGCCCCTCCCTGGAGCCCTGCAGACTGACCAGCTGGAGCTCTCTGTCCCCTGACCCCAAATCAGAGCTGGGACCTGTCAAAGCAGACGGGCGACTCAGGTAGCAGGGCCCCAGCCAGTACCCGTGGAGAACCCGGGGAATTGCACCTTACAGACAATGGAGGGGTGTCCCCTCCCACAGGCAAGAACCAGAGGCCCAGGCTGCACACCCATTCAGCCATCAAGAACCCACACAGATGACAGGGTGGACACAGTATGAACTACTGCTGGTGTCTCTGCTGGGGATCAGAGGGCTGGCGGGAACGTGAGAAGGGTGCCAGCAGCATTCCACACCCAGCTCTTCCTTGCCTTCCTCTCTAGTTTTTTTTTTGTTTTTTTTTTTTAACTTAAAAAGGAAAATGGATGGTGGGGGGAGAAACTAGAACAGAAGATGTGCAATAGGGCTCAGAGCAGCCCCAGGAAGTGGGCCATGTCTGTGGGGAGCAGGGGCCTGCCGAGCCCACCTGCTATTGTTCTGGATGAGGCTGGGCCTGCCTCACTCTCCAGGGCCTCATCCCCCAGCGTGGGCCTGTGGTGCTCGTGGCTGAGGCTCCACGAGGGTGCAAGTGCCCTGCCAGGCTCTAAGGCCTGAAGAATAGGTGATATGGGGGGCACTGCAGAGCTGGGCTCTAGCAGGACAGCTATTTTGTAGCCAGGGGACCCTGGAAGTGGGGTGGGGCTGGCTCCAGGGCTTTCCAGCATACCCTGCCCCTGGATGGGAAAGGCAGGGTCAGGGCCCACTGAGAGCCATGCAGAGTTTCCCAGGTGAGCACTGGAAGTGTGAGGTCACACGAGCAGCGTGGGAAGAAGACTCTGTCAAGACTCTCAGAAGAACCTGGAGTAATTGTGCCTGAAGCTCAGCGTGAAGTCTGAAATATGCAACAGAAGAAATATATCTCTCTCTCTCTACTCTGGGCTCTGTGTTTTTCCTCCTGGGTGTCAGGAAGCCATCACCATTCATTGGGTCTTCTCCAGAAGTCTTAGCTGGTAGCCTTGAGAAGGTAAAGATCTCATTCCCTCAGATGGAGAACACTTTAGAATACACCCAAGAGGGACTCAAGAACTCATCTAGCCTGGGTGCAGGGGTTCACGCCTGTAATCCCAACACTGGGAGGCTGAGGCAGGAAGATTGCTTCAGCCCAGGAGTTTGGGACCAGCCTGGGCAACACAGTGAGACCTCGTCTCTATGAAAAAAAATTTTTTTAATTAGCCAGGCGTGGTGGCGCACATCTGTAGTCACAGCTACTCAGGAGGCTGAGGCAGGAGGTTGAAGCTGCAGTAAGCCAAAATTGTACCACTGCACTCCAGCCTGGGTGATAGAGTCTCAAAAAACAAACATCTAATCCAACTCCTTTTTTCTGAGGGGTAAACAGGCCCAGAGAGGCTCGAAGACTTCTTCTTTGCCACCCAGCAGGCCAGGGGACCAGCAGGACCTGAGCTTAGTTTGAGAGCCCTGACCCAGCACTCCCACCCCCACCACCGGGCCAGGCTGCAGCAGATGCTGGTTCCTCTATCCTTGGCCTTAGCAGGGCCCATCCTAGAAGCCTGGCCCTGCCACACGGGGTACCTTCAACAGAGGCAATCCCAGCCATGGCCTGGTGGTTATGACTGGGGCGCTTTTCTTTTAGGGGCAGGAACAGCAGCAGCCTAGGTCCCTGGTCACTGTCCTAGGACCCATGTTGAAAAGGGTTGTCCATCCTCCCTCCCTTTCCCAAGCCTCCTCTCCCCCTCCCACTCTCCTACCGTTGTCAGCCAGGGCTTGGTATCAGTCCTTCACACCTTACTTAATGTGGGAGCAAGGGTGAAGGTTTCTAGACCTCTAAAGTCACCCTATCAGCCAGCCACACTGATCTCAGCTCAGGTTGGGGAACAAATTCCCGCCCAGGCTGCCACATGTCAAGTTCTCCTAGTTGCCAGGAGGGGGCAGTGCTGACAACCAACTGATAACAGCATTGGGGTTTTTGTCGGCTGATCATGCCTGCAGTATCTCAATCCTTACAGCTCCTGGAGGGAGAAGGGAGGCATTTTTATTATCGTTATTTAGCAGATCAGAAAACTGAGGCTGTGAAATGACGAGCCCAAAGTCACAGCTAACTATTAGATGATGGCAGCAGCCTTCAGAAAGAGGCAGGAAGCCTCCAGAGCCACTCAGTCACTACACTCTCCTGCTCACATAAGAGACTGGCCGGGCAGGTAAGTAGGAAGGAACTAATGGCAAGAATTCAAAGGAAAGAGTGCTTAGGTTCGGAGGCTAAGATTATTCATTTTCTTCTGGCTCCTATTTTAGTGAACATCTGAAGCTATACCCTGGTTCTCTAGAATGTTGGGGTTTTTGTTTCCCAGTATCAACTCTCAGGTCAATAAAGAGGAAAAATTAACAACTAGGTTCAGCATTTTAGGCACGGGCAGTAAATATTAGAACACTTAGACTTTGCTGCCCAAGAGCTCACAAACTAGCCAGTGGGTTTAACCTGGGCTATGGCTGTGCTGTGTTAGGCTAGCACAACAGTTTTCAAAGTAGTAGTAGTATTTTTAGAGACAGGGTCTGGCTCTGTTGTTCAGGCACGATCATGATCATAGCTCACTGTAGCCTTGACCTCGAGCCCTCCTGGAGCTTCCAACGGGATCCTCCTAAGTGGCTAGGCCACAGGTGTTGCACCACCCATGCCTGGCTTTTTTTTTCTTTCTTTTTTTTTTTTTGTTATTGGGTAGAAACAGGCGGTTCTCCTCTGTTGCCAGGTAGTCTCAAACCCTGGCCTCCAGTCAATCCTCCTGCTCCAACCTCCAAAGGCATTGGGCGATGACAAGGCATCAGCCACACTCCTGGCCTCAAAGTACTATGTTAAACCAAAAAAAAAAAAAAAAAACCTTAGTAGGGAAATGACTTGCTGCCATCCCTGGTTCTTCACCATATTTAGATTCAGGTCGTAGTTAGCATTATTGTACCTGCTGTTAAACTTTTGAGTTTACATTCTTCAACTCAAGTTAGGTCGTGATCCTTGACAGAGGGATTTCTTGATTTAATGGTTGAGGTGGCACCCACAATGGGTATTGCTTTTGAAAGCTTCTCAGCCCGTTTCTAACAAGCAGGCAGGCAGAACCAGGAAGGCGTAGGCCACCCGCTTGCTCTGGCAGGCTGTCTTGGCCCCACTGAGTTGCGAAAGCGACTGCAGCGGGCAAGGACCCCAGGCCCCAGGACTCCTCCTTGGAGAGTTCCAGGGAGGGGCAGGCTTTGTGGGGGTGGGAGCACTCCTCTTCCCATTCTCTCCCCTGTTCAGGTCACTGAGGTGAGGTGGGAGGGGCGCACTTTGCTGGGGCGGTCCTAGCGGACAAGGTGTTTCTACGCCCCCCCACTTTCTGGTAGGTTAGGCTCAGCCTGGGAGGTTTGGTTTT